CATGTTCTGTTATTGTAGCATAAAATCACAGGAAATGTGATTAAGAGAACTGAAACTATCAAGAGATCAAAAAGAAATAATAAATAAATAAATAATAAAAACAGGAAATAACATGAAAACAAATCAAATAAGTGAATATAAAGAAGGAAGAAGAGGCAAAGTAGGAATAATAAATAAATAAATATATATGGAAATAACCAAAAGACCTATTTCGTTTCGTCGTGCCATGGCCATAATCGCTTCCTAGGATATTATAATCAGTATCAGTACGTCATCAATTTTACAATAAACGCAAATAATGACCCGAAGGCGCCTCTGCGACCAGAGCTTCCAAGGTCGCACAGGAGCGCCGACAGAACAGAAATGGAACAAAAATTACGAGAAATCTTATCAATACCGGGGAATTGTCGAGAAAAACTCGGCAGAATGAAAGCAATAAAATATAATTGATTGCTTGACTGTGGTCAATTTCCCAGTTAATAAAAAGATTAGGATCGACAGGAAGTCACTGAACGTACAGTCACCCGCAGCGCGACCGCACATGGCAGCAAAAGACAACCATGCAGCGCCCTTGAAATGAACTATAAACACTGCTTGAAACCGCGATGTTTCGCCTAATCAACGTTATTGAAATTAAAGTCTGCCATTTTTGCCGAGGCGCAGATCATGTACTCCTTGGCGCCACGACATAACAATGGGGCGCTAAGGCCCAAGAATTCACTATTGCTCCGCCCACCACCATAGACTCCGCCCTAAGTAAGTGCTACTCACTTCGCCGCTACTGGAGAGAGGGAAAGACTTTCTTTTCGTCCTACCGAAGTTGCTTCCCGTTTTTTCACTAATGGCGTGACATTTCATATCTCCAATGTCTTTGACAAACGCAATAACACATCAGTTACCCGGAAAGTGGCCTTCAGGCTATGAAATCAGATGTAATCTCTATAACATCGTAGAGCGTAGGCCTCGCGATCTGTATCACGTTATTGGGCTGATAAGCATTTTTTGAAAATTCATACGCGCATCAATTCAGGCTCAAGTATACAATGATGGTACCCGACAGGAGGCCCGTCGCGCTGCGAATAGGCAGAGACGCAGACGGGTCAGCGGACGAGTCGCAGCGCGTGCAGTGACTTCTCGTTAAAGGAAGCGATTACGATAAGGAATTTTCGCATCGGGGGAGAACCTGCGCCACACGGAGCAATTACTTGGCTGCCAAGGAAGCAATGTGTGGCGCTTCCACGGCGAAAGGTGCTGTGGTGCTGAGCAGGACCTCCGCAGCACTCCGCCCCCAGCAGCGTTACGCCCACAAGTTTACTTGTTGATTTGGACGAGCTGCGTGACCAGCAGCGGCGCAAATGGAGTATCTCGATTAAAGCGTACTTTGGCATGGTGCCATCAAATTCGTTGCGGTGAACTCGTTCATACGTCCTCTTTCTTAGCTGTTACCTGTTCACGAGTTGAAACCAATGGCCAAAAAGAGGGTCCCGTTTTGTGTTTTCTTGACGGATTTTTCTGCTTTTTTTCGCTGCTGGGGTACCATTGAACACCACCACGTCACACTAAACCTCTTGAATTTATCGTAACCGCTACCTTAAAGTTAAACAGAACGTACTATAGTACCCCATGCCACATCGCACGCGCTGCGACTCTTCCGCTGACCCGTCTGCATCTCTGCCTTCTCGCCGCTTGACGGGCCTCCTGTCAGGTACCGCTCCGAATCATCGTGAATTACCACTCTGCTCACAACTTAATGATTTCAAAACAAACCTATTTGATCGTCGTCCTTTCCGTCTTCAGCGGCTGGTTCTGTCGGCGACGACGTGTCTGAATGCTCTACAGAACACTCCGATAGAGCGTCTCCTTTCTCGTCGAACACAATTCTCGCGATTGCGCAGTCTCCACTCGCCTGAAACTCACGCATTGCATTACACAGTTTTCTGCCGACTATTTGGCTATCATTCCTCTACACCATCGCTTGCTAGTTTCTGGACCGAAACCATATTAAAGCAGCGAATCACAGTAGGCTGGAGGGCGTGTTATCGCATTATGGCGCCATTACACATCATTAGTGAAAGTCCTCAAGGGGCGGTACCAACCACATCCCCATGCATAGCGGGTTTGAGTCCATCAATACGTCACTGAAACAGCACCGCTTAATAACCACGGCGGGCGTGCAGTCCATCATAGCCGAGGTACCTCTCATGGGGACGTCGGTAAGGTGCAAGAGCCTGAATGACCTCCAAGGCAAGGTATATGTAGCTTCCAAGAAGACGCACAGTTACTGATAGGACCAATCACATGTCGAAAATATAATAAAGTACTCGGTGTTTATCAGTCCCTTTTCGGGGTGCGCCATGCATTCTACACCTAGTCAGGATCGTGATGGAGTTTGAGAGCGATTCAGCCCAGATAAGGACTTACTGAAATCGGTCCATGTAGAATTCAATGCTTTCATTTTCCGATAGGAATCTAGTTCTGGATAATCAACCACAAGGGATGGAGAACTTGCTCTGCCTGGAGGGACCCATCAGATAACACAAGGACAAGAGTTGAACTTCCGACAATAACGCATCCATTCTTTGGGACGCGCCATGCACTCTTCTTCCATTGAAAATGATGGTGACACTTGAATTTGCCTATGCAGTGGCTTGCGGGAGCCAACCGATGACTAAGTCACGGTTTCTATCTCCTTTCGGAGAAGTCTAGTTCTAACCTCAAAAAGATGGAAGACTTTGTCAGTGGGCAAAATTCGATCCGGGACTAGATTCTGGGACCATGCGCATAATATGCCGCTTCACTTGCCACCACACCGTTTCATCCATCTATTCACTGGGAATCATGACCCACGCACGGCGCACTCCGAACATTTCGAAATCGGATACTCAATGACTGCTATATCGACAATGTACCGACGTAATTCGATATCAGGAGACTGTAGTCGATCTGTGGGTGCCATTATGCGATTATTGACCACGCCAGGGATAAACGGCATCACAACAGCTCTGATTATCTCCCCTACGCCGGCTGCGCATTTCAATTCATTTCAGCTTTTGAACTATCCTTTAGGTTCTCACAGTTTTAAAAGGGGCACGATTTTTGCGTAAGGAAGGGAAACTCCATTCACTCTGCATGCAGTGCAACTGGTTTTTGGCTAAGGGCGCTCATGCCGATGGGCGGGGACATTCGAACGGGACATCTGAAAGTAGGTGGTAGGCGACACTAGGAATAAGTCCCGGGTACCCGACAGGAGGCCCGTCGCGCGGCAAGAAGGCAGAGTCAGCGGACGAGTCGCAGCGCGTGATGTGCGATGTAGGACGTACAATGGTACATTCTATTTAACTTGACGCGAAATCACTACAGTACGCGCTGCGACTCGTCCGCTGACTCTGCCTTCTTGCCGCGCGACGGGCCTCCTGTCGGGTACCCGAAGTCCCAGAGAGAAGAAGCTCGTAGGAAAACAAGAATTGCTTACCTCCTTTCCTAAGCTCCCCACCTATAAGCTTAGCCCAAGTCACTGTATGCTTCGTGCTTACCCTCCATGAATCCTCGCCCCCTAACAACAGAAGCCGCCAGAAGGTAATTTTCACTTGATCAGTGACGCATGAAAAAAAACTCACAAAATAAACTCAGTTAAAATGGGTCAAGGGGAAGTCGGAGTATTAAGAGCGGATTCTGTGAATTCATTTTCCTTGAGGAATGTAGAGGGGTGCATACTATTGCTCTCACCTATTTGCGCAGTTGAAGGTCAGTAATGCTGCACATCTCTTGAATTCTTTTCCTGATAAGTTGGCTTGTTGTGGATACTTCAACGGACCGGCTTGGAGATCAACAGTATGGACGATCCCCGCTTGACATTCGACGCCAACGCTTTCGATTCACTTCGCCGAAAAGGGGGGGGTTGGGACTCAGAGGCGACATCGGTCTCTTGAAACTGCATCCGTAGAATATTTTGTTTTTTTTTCTGCTCCAGGAAGCAGCAGTTGCGAATCGAATCGGATGGGCAAGGGGTTAAAGCAGCTTGAGAGATAACTAGTCAGGCTGGACCACATCATGACCAGGGGCAGTCACCATGTTATACTCATAGTCAACCGTCTCTTTCGCATCTTCAAAAATTTTACGACCCCTTCCCATCCCGACCACCACCCCCCCCCCTCACCAAGATGGCGTTCCCATAGCACTTGCTTCTGAGACCAGCCGACACGCTCCAACACCGCACAATTTCCACTCCAAAAAATTCTGGCCGTGAAGCGGGGTGGGAGGGCGTGATCCCATAATCAACTAACCCCTCTACTTCCACGAATACAAACCCCCGTTGATCCTTCCATGAACCTGGTCAACGCTATCCAACTCCAAATATCGTCCCCTCCAGTTTCGTATAATACGCCAACGCTTCGTTCCGAAACGGACGGTTGACCTGGTTCCACTACACATAATCAGCAGCACGCGACCACCGGCTAGAGAATACGCCGAACTGATGCTCCGCAGATGGCCTGACTAGACTTATTTCATTACTGCCTATTCAACTACCTCCAGCGCTTCTGAAGCGGGAAAATTGATACGGAGGATAAGGTCAGGGATGCACACGATAGCTTCTTCAAGGTCCAACCCCTTCCCTTTGAGGAAGAAGGAATCGAGAAGTTTGCCACACTTTTGATGGCGAGACTGACGACGCCCAAAGTCCTCGATGCTAAGGTCGATTTTTGGAACTTATGCAGAAAAAAAGGTCCCAACGACAAGCTTTCTGGACAACTTAATGGAAAATTGTACAGCGCCAGTCTGTTGGTTACAGGTTCCGTAAACGTTTTGCCTATAGGCCAATTGGACAGCGCCAAACTATTGGTGGCAGTGCCATGAACCTTTTGTCTGGGCCAGAGTAACGTATCCCATCGCAAAACACTGCCATTGGCAAACTATATCGTGAAGGTCAATATGACCGCGTATACCTTTTAGTACGCAGATGTACCATTGCAGACACAAGTGGTCCCTCTGGCGATCAACTGGGCACAGTGACCAAGCTCGGAAACGCCCTCAACAGCACTGGCTTCCGGTCAATCAAATGCTCTTAATCGATACGGCTGTGAACCGCCAGGAACAGTTGCAGGCTGCCACCATGTGGGAAATTGAGCCGTAGTTCTGTAGTCCGCCACGCCCACATAGTGCGACGCATTTTTCTCATTTGCATAAGAAAAGGTAACTGACCGCCCTGGTGCTACTCAACTGCGATGTACGTTGACCACATGCGGCTTCCGCTTCTTCAACTGTCGGACAGAGCTGTAGAATGGTGAGGTTCTTTCCGTCCTGATCAAGGGTTTCACCTGAAAAATGTCCCATATTATACGGTACCTTCAACTATTCCGCAACCCACGACATTCCTTAAAATTTTGAGACTTCTGACTACATACGAGGCGCTATCGCAGGAAACGGGGGCATCCTCTAGAACTAAGCCTAGAGAGGACAAAACTCTCGGGGAAAATGGAAATTGGCTCACGTAACCTGAGTCTCTCCTTCCCTTCCCCCTCCCACCTCCCACCGCTAAAGGATGTTCCCTGTTCTAACAAAAAAAGGGTTTTAAGTGCATTGCCACCACAACGTCCCGTATCCTGCGATAGTGCCCATATAAGTCTTGGGTAGGAACTTTGCCTCAGTCGAGACTCCATCCCAGACCTCGCACTTCCCGGGGTGGATGCCACTAGGTTGGTAATTTGCTATTATTGTTCCAAATTTTTAGATTAACCAATTGTTCGAGAACTTATTAAAACCTAAAGATTGGTAGGAATGTGAGTGAATGCTCGAGAAAAGAGACGTCTTCCTGCCAAGAAAGCCCCATTACGGTAGACTAAGGGAGATTATGGCTACTGGCCAGAGCTACTCACCAATATCGATCCCTTCCAGGAGATTCTTGTCTGAAATCACTGTGAATTTCATTGTGGAGCCGTCAAACGCGACGGCTGCTTGGGAATTCAGCATTCCTCTGAAAAGCTGGGTTTTTAGAAATACTAACATGAAAAAACAAACGAAGCCAAACGACCAGAGAACCAGAGCAAACTTTTCTGCGTCTCTGACGGCGCGTAGAATGCGGCGCGGTTGTGCGAGTTCGTTTAGACTTGACTAAACGACACAACCGGCCGAGCACTGACGGCTAAGGCAACTGTAGGAGGATAGTTACGTAGTAAACAACGACGCTCTCGGATAAGGCTTTTATGAATAGAAGTACAGTCCAGTGAAGAGTATGTTCCTCATTAAGAAGCTCAGACTGAGATGGAGTAAGCAGAAGGCGATTTACCCTAAGAAATCTTCTCAACTCAGCCAATGAGCCATGAAGCCGTCGCTTGAGCGTACTTTGAGCATTGGGCCGAAAGAAAAGACAGAGGAATACGAGAATCCGACGAAAGAACTCGGAAATGTGCAGTTGCAAATTGTTGCAACTGGGAACATCTGAGGAGAGGGATGAAAACTGAATCCATGGGCGATGGAGAACCCAGTTAAGTCGGGGGCTAAAGGATGCGGGGGCTTGGAACAGTTACCCACCCTACCCTTCCCGAGGTGCACCCACAATCGGTGTAAAACTAAGTCAAGTCCGGGAAGAGTGCTCCCTCGAGGGTCCAGTCGGATACAGAGAGTTCCCTGTTCCCAGCACGTGCGCGCGCATTTTTTGACGGGGAACCGCCAAGTTGATTGATCACGAACGCCTCCCAGACGGAGTACCCATGGTTTTGACTGGTGGATTACCGACATCGCGGAATCGGGACCTAACACCCGCACTGTTACTGCGACGAACAGAGGCTAAAACTTGTGGATGTGCACAGCTGTGTGGGATCTTTACCAGTCCGTGCCTCCCGACTATCAAGCCAGCAAGACGTGAGTGACACCCTGACTGCCTAATCTCCCTAATGTCATAACCCGGGAAATTCCTTCCAATCCAGGGCAGGAAGAGACCCTAACCGAAGAGCTAGGCGGGGTGATTCTCCCAGTTGAGTTATGCACGTTTCAAGGGAGTGACAGCCCCTACCGGTGCTGTCAAGGTCGAAGGAAGGGAATTGTTGGCTAAGCAGGGAAAGGCGATCCAGGATGGTCCTTTGGGTTGAGTAGTTCAGCTCTAGACACCAAGGGTAGGGTAAAATACCGTTTGTGGCCGGCTAGCAGTCACGAAGTCCCGGCGAAGGAATCTCGGGACGGCGTGTCAACAAAGGCCGTGCTGTGAACGATGGTGTTGCCGACGAATAAGCCAAAGAACAACCACAACACACACAGCATCGACTTCTGTGGAATCAGATTCACATCTGGGAACGATTTGAGGTGATGTGGGAACGGATAGAAGCTCAGGGGAAGCTGGCGGAGGACGTGGTGGAAGGCGGTGGGTACGGCGGCGGCGGTGGTGGTTATCGCGGGGCCGCCGGAAAATCGATACCAGAGAAGCGCCGCCCCCGAGGGCCACCGCCACTCCATCGGCACCACCACCGCCAACGGACCAACACCATCCGTACGGGTTTCGTTCTGATTCCCTTACCCATTACCTGAATAAGGTCCGAATATTGGGAAGGTTGTGTACAACCTGGGTGCCAAAGCGGAACTGGTCTGGGGAATTCCGCCGTTGACGAGTGCGAACGGCGCTGAGTGGCTCTATTCAATAAGGAAGCTGCTCAAAAAGACTCTTAGCTCGCGGTTGGCTACGTTTGAAGGGGAATAGGGACAGGTTTGGGAGGGCTTCACCCATTTGGCTGTACTTTCTCCTAATCGTGGAGTTTTGGATGGGCAGCTGAAAAATTAGGTATTTTTTATTTCTATGGCTCTCTAGGAGAGTGGCCCGTTTTTTAAGTTCCTGATTGGGTTTTCGGCCTATGTGTGGGCTAAAGAGGTCCTAATGAGGTTCTTTTCTCACCTCTGGTGATATTCACCTGTCCTCCACAGGTACGGCAATAAAATAATGGGATAAAATCGCGCTCAGGGTGGCTTAGGTGGCCAATTTGGTCATGGAGGGTCGATGGTGTTACAAACTCTGACGTTAGAGAAAACGTACTATATTTAGCTAGACCTTTTGGGTATTGTACACCTGCACAAGGGCTATATTTAGCCTTGGTCAGGGTCCAACCAAGAACGGGCAGGTAGACCCGAAATCTAATGAAATGCCATCGATGGGAAAGCTAGTAAAAAGAATCTACCTTGGAAAGCTATGGTCACAAAACTGTTCCACTCCTTCTGCCCCTGAAAGTCCCTTCCGCCCTTTGTGCCATTTGTGACCCCGATTTTCCCCTGCGCACCACAGTACAGAGTTCGTATGGACCTAGATCAGTTCTCCATGCTAGTCCTTGGCAAGCGCCACGGAGGCCTTTCAGAAGTGTTGTGTGTAAATTTAATAGGGATGGGCTGAGTTGTACCAACGGAAGACATAGAAGAACTATGAGTCGCGGCCACGAGATCGTCGAACGTGCTGCTCTATGGGCAATCAGCTGTCCGGTGAATACAGATCGATCGGCTCCCAGGGCGTACGGCCAAGAGAACACCCAAGCAGTTCGTATCCAACAACACCTTTACCGTCGGTGCCCAAAATTCTTAAGAGGTAGATTGGGGGTAGCGCTTCACAAAGGGTGCTTAATTTTCGTTGTGTGTTGCTTAAGTGGCCCACCTTGGTCAGCGAGATCGACGGGTTTGTCGGGAGCGCAAGCTGGAGACATGGGACTTATAATTTTAGCATTTACGCTTGCTGGCTGCTCGGGACGATAGTAGGCAGGGTCTCAATTACGAATTAGTGGAAAGGTTGTAATTTTTTGGTTCCTTCCTTTGGTTTGACGTGACCTGCGCTATGTAAGACGGCGTTCCTTGCGTAAATAAGACAAGACTCGCTTTTATGAAGAATATGGCTGGATTAATCCAAGTGACGGAGTGAAAGGTCGGCTGCACCAGTTGTCGACCCCTTCCCAATAACCTATCAGCAGTGACGCTAGTTATGATTCAGAGGCGTGTTTTCGAGATAATAGTGCTAGCAGATTGCGCCACGCACCCATCATTCATCCTCTGCCTCTCCCAAACAATTGATTACTTGTTCGGACGATGACTTAACCAGTGACGAACAGAACCCCCGAACCCTTGGAATTCGATTGCTGGGAAAAATCAATAAGGAATAGGCTATCCAGGGAGAAGTTTTCGGTGAGAGTGCCAGACGATAAGAGCTCCCTTCCGCCCTACTTGACCGAATTTCCCAAGCAGCATAGCCTAAAGAAGTGGCCGAAGCACGTGTTGGGCATCGCAGCCCTTCCAGAACAATCTTCTGCGATCAGGCGACCTGGGAGAAAGGTGAACTTGGTGAGACCCAGCCAAATGCCAAACTATCCCTTATCAGCCTTGAAAACTAGTAAAGCAATGATTCAATAGAGTTATCATCATCTTCACACACGCACACTTTCGGCGTGTCTATCGATCTTGGAGCGCCCTGTTCCCGAGTCGCTTAGCCATGACCAAATCAGGTCTAGCGGTCACGTATTCTTTGTCCATCATTGCCATAAGGGTTCTGGCTGGTCATTATCCAGGTGGCTAGCATTCGGGGCCACAGGTGGACTTGGTTAACCAGTTGTTCCAACGGTAAACACGATTTAGTACTTGTGATCAGTACTGGACGTCCAAACAGCATGTCCATTGGTATGGCGACTTCTTTGTGTAAGCACCTACCCGTAATGGCCCTGAACATGGGCGGTACCTCTGGAATAACAAAAAAAAATAGTTATAGAATATGTATATTAAAATATAGGGAGGTTTGTTTCGCCCCCTTACTCAGACGTACCACGTTGTTTCCATCAACCCCGGGCTTATACCTATACCTCATACCTCATACCGTCGTTTACTGTCTCCGTTGAATCAGCGTACGCGAAAATGGCGAATGTTTCCTTTTAGTGGCCATCATTGGCATCCATTCATTCGGTTCCTTACATTCTGTATGAATCGAAGATTATTTGTTTAGGTCTCGCTAAAGGGGGTGCGCAATTTCAGGCTGCGCCTTGTACATTTATCGCATTAAGGATCATTGGAGCGATTGGAAGGTACATGGTGCACCTACTGCCTAAAGATTGCCAAAGGCTTGTTATACACTTTGCTACACTGAATTCTGGCAGCAAGTGTTTCATGGAAAAGTAGAGTATGGTCAACCTGGGGCCACCGCATGCTTTCGTCTTTGTGTTCTCTCCTTTGGGCACTGAATAAGCTCAATTGGGCCTTTTTCTAAGAATTGCGTGATTCTGGAATTCTAGCACAGAGCCGAACACACGACGTGGACGGGTGTGGCAAGGCAATCCGTGAGATTTGGTATTAATAACCCATTTGACTTCAGTGAAAAGCTGCGTTCGGATACCTGCGTTGGACTTCTGTATGCGTCAAAGTTCAGTCGCCCATACTCTACGACGTTGAGTGCCTCATTCCAGGGTGCGCCATGCATCCGTACGGCCCATAGGCTCGAAGAAACGATTGAAAGCATTCGTAGCGTGCGCTGCATACCGAGTGTCAAAACGGCCACAATTGAGCGCTCGGCGTTGGGTGATCTTTTGGGATGCGTCACGCACTCTACTTCCATTCAGAAGGCTGTGGCATTTGAATGCGACTTGTTCTATACAATGACTCGTGATGCCAGCGCGTTGCGTTGGACATCTGAACGCATCCAAATTTACTTGCCCATGCTATATGTCGCTAATGCTTCATTCCAGGGTGTGCCATACATCCGTACGGCCCATAGACTCGCAGAAACGATTGAAAGCATACATGGAGCAGGTAGGCTCACAAAGTGCCACGAGGTCACGAGGAATAAAATCATTAATCGTTTGGCGTTAACTTGTCCCTTTTGGGCTGCGCCACACGTTTCACTATCATTCAGAATGATAGCGGCATTCGAATGTGATTTGGCCTGTACACTGTGTTGCGATGCCAGTTTAGTACATTCCAGTGTGTATGTGACTCCCAGATGAGGCTGGTGCCGATAAGCCCTC